CTCCTCTCTCTTGAAGCCACCACTCCTCCACCCTTGGGACCAGGGGGAGGGTGCAGCGCCCAGCCTGCAACAGGTGGGGCAGGAGAGGGAGGGGTAAGGGGAGGTCATTGGCGCATGTGCAGACCCCAGAATCCCACTCCTCAGACACCCCATTCAGCAATTCCCACTCCCACCTCACACACACACACACACACACACACACACACACACAGGGGCTGCAGACAAACCAGCGACAGGTTTCTATTTCTGGAAACTTCAAACCCCTCCCCACCCTGGGGAGTCATGCTTCCCTTGGGCCTGGCCACTAGCGCCCTTTCTGACCCAATGCCAGCCCTTTACACCCCCCCCCCCACACACACACACCCCTCATTCCGAGCGCTGCTCCAGTGTAGTTTCTATCACCAAATCTTAAAGATGAAGGGCCGGGGGTCTTGGGGGGGGGGGCACTTGAAACACCGGGAAGCTGTTCGCAGTATGTGTTCTTGGGGGTTAGGCACTGGGCGAGGGGCGTGTAGGGAGAGCCGAGACCTTATGATTCAAGACTTTAGCTACTGGGTGGTAGATCCTGAGGAAGAAATTCCCTTTTTATTCTCTCTCATTTCTTACAGCAGCAAGAGCAAGACTGAAATGAATGTCGCAGTACATTAGCCTGCTAAGGGTTTTAAGAATTTAAGGGTTAGAAGAATTTCTATCTGTCACAGATGTTTGACCGTGACTTTACGTGAATGCAGTATCTCTTCGAGGGATATCAGCATGGCAACCTCATGCCTAGTGTGAGAAGGTCTTCTTCCTGCTCATCCCAGGCATCTGTGATATGTAGGGCGGGCATCAGGGAGTGGGAAACCCTGAAATGATCTTGTATCCTTCCTTTATTGCCGAATAACAACCCCCAAACTTTAATACGATGGTTTAATACAATGATATATACACTTAATGCCTTTCAGACAGTTTCTGTTGGTTAGAGGTTCAGGGGTGCTTTGGCGGGCTGCTGGCTTGGGGGCGGGGGTCTCTTGGGCATCTGCAATCATGTGTCAGATGGAGCTACAGTCATTGGAAGGCTGGGCTGAGCTGGAGAATGGACTCCCTCCGTGGCTCCCTTCCATGACTCACCCGTGCGGCTGGCTGTTGGCAGGAGGCCGTGGCTCCTCTCCCTGAAGGTCTCTCCACAGGACTGCCTGAGTGTCCTCACCGCCTGGTGGCCAACTTCCTCCAGAGCAAGGTAGCCGAGAGAGAGCCAGGCAGAAGCCACACTGACCCGGCTCTCCGAGGTCACACCTGTCACCTCCACTTCGGCCGCATGGGCCAGCCCTGATTCGGCGTGGAAGGAAGGGGAGTTCACGAGGGGTGAGGAGGTGGGGGCACGGGGGCTGGCTCTCACACACATCATCTCGGAAGTCACATCTGTTTTCCTAATTTTGAAAAAGTTCAAACCTACACAAAAGGAGAGAAAATGCAACGAACTCCCATGCAGCGATCGTTCCCATTCAATTATTGTTAAGGAAATTCCATCATTTTATTTTGTACTGTGTCCCTGAGAGAAACATGCCTTTTCCACCAAACCCTCACCCCCATAACTTTCCTGAGATGCAGTGTTCCAGGCTCTCTCTTGCTCACCCTCTCTGCTGTGTTTAAGGGATGGAGGAGAGACAGATACAAGGAAAGAAGGACCCTGATGCTGGACACCAGCCCCAAGTGTCTGCAGCTTGGAGAGGCCGCCACAGGTATGGTCCTTAGTCGGTCCTCCCCACCACCCTCCACCAGCTCATTCAGAAGTAACCATGCCAGGAACCCTTTACTCCCTCTGCCCCACTCCCTCCTGTTCCTGGTCTCCCACCCCCTAAAAAAAAAAAAAAGAGGAAGTAACCATGCCATTTTCAAATTTCAGATCACCTGGGGATCTTGTTAACCCGAGGATCCTGAAGCAGTCGGTGTAGGGCGGGGCCTGAGGTTCTGCATTTCTAATAAGCTCGGTGATGCAGACACTGCAGGGCCACAGAAGCCGTAGCCACTAGCTCCCTGTGGCTATTTAAATTGATTACAATTAAATAGCATTATCAATCACTTCTTCGGTTGCCCTAGCCTCCTTTCAAATGTTCAATAGCCACATGTGACTAGCTGCGCTATTGAACATAATCACGGAAAGTTCCATTGGGTGGCAGAGTGCAGAACATTGACTCCTAATGACTTTCCCACAGCTGCCTCCTGGCCCAGAACAACCATCTATTAATTCACAACAAAAAGAGAACCTCGGCAGGATGAACAGCAACAGGTTGTTTACCGTGGGCATTCGTTTCCTCTTGCTGGGATGGATCAGCCCAGGGATCCTACATGCAATTTGGAAGGTGGTTTGGTTACCTCGGCAAAGGAGGCTGGCTGTGTTTGCCAGGGTATGAGGCTGGATGAGTTGCTTCTCTCTCTACTTGGAGTATTTTTTTCTCAGTAACGCGTACTGGGCATCACCATCGGAGTTGGAGACTGCAGGGAGGCACCCCATTTAAAAGCTCCCTTTCGACTCCTTGTCAAAGACTCCATGTGGCTGGCCGCCCTTCTTTAGGGCAAGGTAGTCCTAAAGTGTAGGACACCGAGGGCTCCACTTCACACTGTACATGTCCCGACAGAACTTTTATATGCTATTCTGTCTGCTTACATGTCCGCTTCCCCATTAGACTGCACGCTCCTCAAAAGCAGTGATTGGCCCTAGGTCTGGCTCTTAATCGGCATTCAAAATATGTGTTGTTTGCCCTAGCCAGTGTTGCTTGATGGTTAGAGTGTTGGCCGAGCACTGAAGGGTCATGGGTTCAATTCCCGGTCCAGGGCTTGTAGCTTCAGCCCAGGGGTTGCAGGGTCAGCCCTAGTCAGGCCCCAGTCAGGGGCAACCAATGGATATCTCCCCCACCCCAACCGATTCCACTCTCTCTATAAAGCAGTGGAAAAATATCTCTCGGGTGAGGATTAACAGCAAAATGTTTATTGAATTAATTCATTAATTAATGGCATTAAATCGGCATATTTATTATATGTTAGTCTCGGTGTCTGGTGTAGGAATAAGGGCAGAGCATAGGGCAGTGATGGCGAACCTATGACACACGTGTCAGAGGTGACACGCAAACTCATTTTTTTGGTTGATTTTTCTTTGTTAAATGGCATTTAAATATATAAAATAAATATCAAAAATATAAGTCTTTGTTTTACTATAGTTGCAAATATCAAAACATTTCTATATGTGACACGGCACCAGAGTTAAGTTAGGGTTTTTCAAAATGCTGACACGCCGAGCTCAAAAGGTTTGCCATCACTGGCATAGGGGTCTGGGCTTGGACAAGCCGCAGCTGTATGCGGGTTACGTGACTTTGGGAATTGCACGTGGTTCTACCCAATCTCATTTCACGATCTGCCAGCAGCTGAGCTTCCTGGTATCATTTGGGGGATCAAATGAGCTAACAGTTGTGAAGGTGCCTCATCACCTACAAGTATTAGCTTTAAAAAAGTTTCGTTTTCTCCATCAGAGTTAGGAGAGCCCGGTCTTGGTATCAGCATGTGTACAGATCACCTTGCACGACTTTATGTCTTGTTCCCACGTTCTAGAGTGCCGCCCATCTGGAAGATTCATTCATATTTCGTTTAAGTCCTCCCTCTCTGGGTTCACTATCTTTTACAATTTAAAAATAGTTACAATTTTTAAATGCAATTTAAATTAAAAACATTTAAAAAATAAATTAAAAACATTTTAAGACCCTGGCTGGGTAGCTCAGCTGGTTGGAGCATCGTCCCAATATGCCAAGGTTGCAGGTTCTATCCCCGGTCAGGGCATGTACAAGAGTCAACCAATGAATGCATAGATAAGTGGAACAACAAGTCAGTGTTTCTCTCTCTCTCTCTTCCTTACTCTCTCTCTAAAAATCAATAAGTAAAAAAAATATTTAAAAACTTAAAACATTCTTGCATTTTGTGGAGACTCCGGTGATGTTACTAACATCAGGACAGATCTGTAGTCCCTGGAGTATCTCCACAGAGAGGGGGCTCTAGCAGGAAGCTGGTCTGGGAGGGGCCGCAGTAAAGATGAGCCCTTTGCGAAGATTTGCTTAAATCGCTGGAAGGTAAACCCTTACCATTGGATGGAGCCCTTTCTACAGAGTTCACCCGTGTTTCCATTTTTGGTTTGTCCCTGCAGGTGCTCAGTCTGGAAGATTCCTGTTGCCATTCCCCCACCCCCACCTCCATAAACCGTCACTCCCTTCCCTGACCCTTTAACATTGAACGTGCCCTTCAGCACGCTCACCCATTATTTACTCCCCAGGAGGCACATGTTTCATCTTTGGGGACAACTGACCTCTGGCACCCTGTGGGCTACTTCTGACCCCTGCCCACCTCAGCCCTGCTCACTGGACCTGCA